CACACACACACACACACACAACCCACCACACACACACACAGTTTGTCCAACAACGCCCTTTGCTGGCGGCATATTCATTACAACAGACACCTATACACTCCATAACCCTACTGTTTATTTGTAGATATCTCCTAAAGCCTACAAATAAAGTGTGAAATGTAGGCCTGTTACATATATTATTGAGCGATATATATTATACACACTGTTCTGCTTTCTGCACTGACCTCAGCAGCTGTTCTCACTGTAAACACCGCGTCTGAATGAAAGCAGTTGTATCAAAAACAAATAGCCTAACATCCAGGGAGATGTGATTAGTGAGTAAACAAACGGTAAAGGGCAGAAAGTGTGATGCACATTTGATCATCTTCAATAACTTATAATCACAACGGGAACAGTTTGCAGAGCTGTGCTTCGTTGACATAAGTCAAAAATTATACAAATGACAAACTGCTCATTTCCGAGGACTCGCGCGCGTCTGCTTGACGCCGGGACGACCGGCCGCCCTCCCCGACAGGCGCACGGACGCGAGGGCCCGCTCATCACTGCGCGCACTTCTGCGACCGCAGTTTTAATTTTATTTTTGTTGTTCATTCATATCTTATTTTACCTAGTTACAATTTATTTATGCATATTTTTGTATCTCTCAAGTTTTAAACGATATTTTTGGTTTACTGTCCTATAGTATACATTGAAATGATTTCAAACCTTTTTATCCCAATAATTATAAAAGGAGTGCCTTGGAAATATTTGTTTACATAAATTGCATTTATCTCTCTTGCTCGATCCCACGCCCACTTTGCCTGTGAGCTGCGGACGCCTGATAAGCCAACACCCCCCACTTTCATCACTTACAGCACCCATCGTACAGAGCAAATGAAAAGTGTAACCGGGGTGAAAAGGGTGTTACATTTACTTAATTATGAATGTTGTTACATCAAGGCTGAAAATTAGGATGAGCGCAAACAGTCAAAAATGTTTTTTTCCCTCCCAGAACTGCCAGCGCAGCGCCCCCCCAGATCTGGCGCCCTAGACGACCGCCTATGTCGCCTATGCCAAAAACCGGGCCTGTACACCATGCTAAATGTATGTCTGCATAAAGCTGAGTTATGATCGGTCATAATAACACAGAATTTGGTGATGATTAAATAGTTTACAGTGAGATTTACTCCCATACTTTTGGCCATACTCACGCAGCCCTACAAATGAATTGCAAGTTTAGCTTTAGCAAGTTTGCAGAGCAGTGTTGATTTAAAAAAACAATTTGAAGGTTGGATATTGGTAAACCTTTTTTTGTGAATATATATTAATAAATTAAGATGTAAATGAATTCCAGTTTATTTGTAGTACTTTCTATTTTTATTGTGACATTTGGTGGCATCAATGTGTGCATTTGATACAGATAATGGAGCAGTTGCTTTAGGGCCACAGTGTATATCCCTTAAGGTCAAATAATGAGATCCTCGACCTCCGCCCCCCTCTCGCACCTCCACACAGAGCCCCCCTACATATCAAATCCCAACTTAACCCCTGACTACACCCCTGCTCACGAAACAAATCACCACTTAATTTCGGGTTAAAAAGTGTTTTAACCCGAAATGATATTTGGGTAATATAATACCCAAATGTCATTAGTAATGTGTTACATAACTGCGTTACAAAAAAAAGTAATACATTACTGTAACTTCATTACTTTTGTAACGCGTTACACCCAACACTGTTAACAAACAGCTTAAAAATACATATTGCCCAAGTGGTCGAATAATTTTTGGAGTTATAGTTGGTATTTATCAATATTTTTGCAATTTAAAACCATTTTATGCCACTGATACAATGATAATATAATTGCCTATTGAAATATCCTTAAATAATGTTGGCTTACTGTACTCTACTGCATTTTTTCTGGACTATACTGTGCACATTATATTATTAAAGAATAGTTTAAATGATCAAATTACATAAAAACAGAATCCTCTTCAGGTCAGTTCACAGTAGAAACAGACTCTTACTTTGTGTCTGAGGGTCCAGGTTCATTACTGAAGTTTAGAGTGTCCCCTTTGGACCGGTCACTCTTCAGAGACAGACAGCTGGGGACTGGAGACTCTGCTCTCTGTCTGTGGAAACAACAAATGTTTAACACATATCATTAGTTCATTCAAAGAGCAGCTTTTGACTTCTGTCTGTTCACCTGATTAAACATTTTTAGACTTGTTCTTAACTTTCAGTTTTTGAGTCATGCTTGTGGGTTTCTGCTTCTACAATTCATTTGAGAGTGAGATGTTTTACATGTTTGTGTTTCATTTGGTGAACCCAACACAAAGTCCAACGTGTCCAGTGTGAGAATGTTTTCACTGTAGTAGATTATTTACTATCGCTGATGATGCCAAGGACTTAAGCGCATATCCAATGTGATGCTACATTGCGAAGGAATAGTTGATCGCTTGAACATGGAGCTCGTAAGCTAACGGAGAATGTACCATTTATATGTCAGATACTACCTTAAGCTACTGAGACCCGCCTGTCTGCCCGGCACATCGGCACATCAAAACACACACACACACACACACACACACACACACACACACACACACACACACACACACACACACACACACACACACACACACACACACACACACACACACACACACACACACACACACACACACACACACACACACACACACACACACACACACACACACACACACACACACACACACACATACACACACACACACACACCACACACACACACACACACACACACACACACACACACACACACACACACACACACACACACACACACACACACACACACACACACACACACACACACACACACACACACACACACACACACACACACACACACACACACACACACACACACACACACACACACACACACACACACACACACACACACACACACACACACACACACACACACACACAGTTTGTCCAACAACGCCCTTTGCTGGCGGCATATTCATTACAACAGACACCTATACACTCCATAACCCTACTGTTTATTTGTAGATATCTCCTAAAGCCTACAAATAAAGTGTGAAATGTAGGCCTGTTACATATATTATTGAGCGATATATATTATACACACTGTTCTGCTTTCTGCACTGACCTCAGCAGCTGTTCTCACTGTAAACACTGCGTCTGAATGAAAGCAGTTGTATCAAAAACAAATAGCCTAACATCCAGGGGAGATGTGATTAGTGAGTAAACAAACGGTAAAGGGCAGAAAGTGTGATGCACATTTGATCATCTTCAATAACTTATAATCACAACGGGAACAGTTTGCAGAGCTGTGCTTCGTTGACATAAGTAAAAAATTATACAAATGACAAACTGCTCATTTCCGAGGACTCGCGCGCGTCTGCTTGACGCCGGGACGACCGGCCGCCCTCCCCGACAGGCGCACGGACACGAGGGCCCGCTCATCACTGCGCGCACTTCTGCGACCGCAGTTTTAATTTTATTTTTGTTGTTCATTCATATCTTATTTTACCTAGTTACAATTTATTTATGCATATTTTTGTATCTCTCAAGTTTTAAACGATATTTTTGGTTTACTGTCCTATAGTATACATTGAAATGATTTCAAACCTTTTTATCCCAATAATTATAAAAGGAGTGCCTTGGAAATATTTGTTTACATAAATTGCATTTATCTCTCTTGCTCGATCCCACGCCCACTTTGGCTGTGAGCTGCGGACGCCTGATAAGCCAACACCCCCCACTTTCATCACTTACAGCACCCATCGTACAGAGCAAATGAAAAGTGTAACCGGGGTGAAAAGGGTGTTACATTTACTTAATTATGAATGTTGTTACATCAAGGCTGAAAATTAGGATGAGCGCAAACAGTCAAAAATGTTTTTTTCCCTCCCAGAACTGCCAGCGCAGCGCCCCCCCCAGATCTGGCGCCCTAGACGACCGCCTATGTCGCCTATGCCAAAAACCGGGCCTGTACACCATGCTAAATGTATGTGTGCATAAAGCTGAGTTATGATCGGTCATAATAACACAGAATTTGGTGATGATTAAATAGTTTACAGTGAGATTTACTCCCATACTTTTGGCCATACTCACGCAGCCCTACAAATGAATTGAGATTTCCACACAAATGTTCTTTAGCAAGTTTGCAGAGCAGTGTTGATTTAAAAAAACAATTTGAAGGTTGGATATTGGTAAACCTTTTTTTGTGAATATATATTAATAAATTAAGATGTAAATGAATTCCAGTTTATTTGTAGTACTTTCTATTTTTATTGTGACATTTGGTGGCATCAATGTGTGCATTTGATACAGATAATGGAGCAGTTGCTTTAGGGCCACAGTGTATATCCCTTAAGGTCAAATAATGAGATCCTCGACCTCCGCCCCCCTCTCGCACCTCCACACAGAGCCCCCCTACATATCAAATCCCAACTTAACCCCTGACTACACCCCTGCTCGCGAAACAAATCACCACTTAATTTCGGGTTAAAAAGTGTTTTAACCCGAAATCATATTTGGGTAATATAATACCCAAATGTCATTAGTAATGTGTTACATAACTGCGTTACAAAAAAAAGTAATACATTACTGTAACTTCATTACTTTTGTAACGCGTTACACCCAACACTGTTAACAAACAGCTTAAAAATACATATTGCCCAAGTGGTCGAATAATTTTTGGAGTTATAGTTGGTATTTATCAATATTTTTGCAATTTAAAACCATTTTATGCCACTGATACAATGATAATATAATTGCCTATTGAAATATCCTTAAATAATGTTAGCTTACTGTACTCTACTGCATTTTTCTGGACTATACTGTGCACATTATATTATTAAAGAATAGTTTAAATGATCAAATTACATAAAAACAGAATCCTCTTCAGGTCAGTTCACAGTAGAAACAGACTCTTACTTTGTGTCTGAGGGTCCAGGTTCATTACTGAAGTTTAGAGGGTCCCCTTTGGACCGGTCACTCTTCAGAGACAGACAGCTGGGGACTGGAGACTCTGCTCTCTGTCTGTGGAAACAACAAATGTTTTACACATATCATTAGTTCATTCAAAGAGCAGCTTTTGACTTCTGTCTGTTCACCTGATTAAACATTTTTAGACTTGTTCTTAACTTTCAGTTTTTGAGTCATGCTTGTGGGTTTCTGCTTCTACAATTCATTTGAGAGTGAGATGTTTTACATGTTTGTGTTTCATTTGGTGAAGCCAACACAAAGTCCAACGTGTCCAGTGTGAGAATGTTTTCACTGTAGTAGATTATTTACTATCGCTGATGATGCCAAGGAGCACAGGAAGAGTTCAATTAAACGTTGTTACTGTACTCTACTAAGTTTCTTAACTGCGATCATTTAAGGTTTAGATTATCAGATAACATAAAAACTGAATCCTCTTCAGGTCAGTTTACAGTATAAACCGACTCTTACTTTGTGTCTGATGGTCCAGGGTCATTACTGAAGAGTAGAGGATGCTCTTTAGACCGGTCACTCTTCAGAGACAGACAGCTGGAGACTGAAGATTTGTCCTCTTCCTCCTCTTTCAAATCACTCATCTTCTCCAGTCTGAGAGATCAACCATTAACACTGGGAGACACACACACACATATTATAATAACACACTTGTTTCAATCAAAACCATCATAATAATAACTGGTACATTTTCAACAAATCAGTCAGACTTCAAACAGGCCGTTCTCCATTTTGTCTGTGCTGGGCTGTTACATGTCATGTAACTATGATGAATCAGAAACCAGGAAATACAAAAAGTGTACAACATTTGCAGGAGTCTCATTGGACTGTAGGACACCGATTTGTAATCAATAAGTAATGTTCTGACGTCCAGTATAACAGAATAAATAGTTAATACACTCACCCTGTTTCCTTCCTCCCGCTCTGTCGAGGTGTAAAATGGAGTCTGGCAGTCTGACTTCCTACTTTCACTTTAACGTCCTCATCTGTCTGCAGTTCCTGCCCTTGTTTTCATAACCACATGTATCAGCTGAACAGGAACACATACAGGGATTATTTTCAGTAAAATATAATTAGACATGCAGCTAAAAACAAACTCGACAAAGTTATTGAGATAAAATAATAATACCATAGTGTGAAACTAACCCAGTAACAGGAAACACCATGCATTCAAAACATGAAGTTAAAGTGTGTGATATGTAAGTGTGAAGGAGGGGGGAGGGGTAGAATTTATGGAGAGGGGAAGGATTCTTTTAAATCAGGTAGAGAGCAAAAGTGGGTAATCAAGGAGCCAACTCCTCAAGTTTAAGTTTTTAACAAAATAATGTGTTCAGGAGAACATAAAAACTTTACTAAGAAACTAAAATCAGAGGTGTCTAAAATATAATTTCAGTAAAAAGATAGTCTGAAACTATTTTTAAAATATAATTAAACCCACTTAAAACAATACAACAATTCAAATGGCTCCAGGAGTGGCAACTCAGTGTCAATCAGCACGGCAGAAGGGGTTCAAATCCGATCCAAACATTTCAAATTAAAAGCATGCAGCAGGAAGTAAAACCAGTTAAAAAGCAAACACATTTCAGAGTAAAAGCACACAATAAAAAGGATATAAAACACACTTAAAAACCTATAGTGTTAAAGGTGGGGTAGGTAAATTTGAGAAACCGGCTCGAGATACACTTTTTGTTATATTCCATGGAATGCTCTTAACATCCCGATAGCAATGAATATCTTAAGTGCTTTGACAAAAAATCCATAACAAAATGTCATCTGTGGAAGCCGTACTGTAAAAAGGACGACCAATCATTTTAGCCGGCCCGGCTAAAATAACTGGATGGCCTACCTGCCTGTCAGCCTTCCATCTGTGCACAAACTTATCTCGTGCCCTCATTGGTCATGTGCGCGTTCGTGTGTGTTGGAGGAGGGGCTCTGTAAGGAAGTGGCAGATTTTCTCCGGTTGTGTATTTTCAAATTCTAGCGATCTCGAGCCGGTTTCTCCGAAATTACCTACCCCACCTTTAAGTTTCAAGGCGTTCAGGTGATTACCAAACACTAATTCCTACATTTTCCCAACACCATTGTATCACTTGCGCTTTGATTTCATTGCATTAGTTTATTTCTCTTAACTTTTATGTTAAGTATATTGCATATTACACTTTAGGAGGAGCCTAAGACCTAACATTTTAATGTTTTATAACTACACTGTAGCTATTACAAATTATAATAAAACCTTAAAGAGGTGTAATGCACTTCACAGCCACTAGATGCTGCTAATGAGACTTTTTATCAAATGTACTTTTTTTACAAATGTTTAATATATTTAGACTCTGAATAAAAACAACATACCATCTGTTCTTGCCTCTGGTTGAGGGCTCCACGTTTTAAAACTACATTAATAAATTACCTTTTCTTTGTTATTCCTTCATACACTTAGTTTCTCTTCATTCTGTGTGGCCTTAGTCCCTTCAGCTGATTAACGAACACTAATGCCTGTATTTTTCCTGCACCATTGTGTCACTTGCACTATTTTTACTTGCACTATTTTATGTATTTGTCTTGTAATGTTAACTATATGGCTTGTTGCATTGTTATAGGAGCCTGGGACTTAACCCACTGTAGCTTGTGTATATCTGACAGTAAACCCTTTGGATTTTTGAATCATTTTTGATCCAACAAGGTGTAATTTACTTTATTTTGTACAAATGTTGTTGTTTTAATGTATTTGGACACAACATGAAATAACCCTCTCTTATAGTCTCTACTCTCTGGTTGTGGCTTTAAAGCTTTAATAATAGACCATTAAATCACTTTTCCTTCACATATAGTTTCTCTTCTATTCACTGCTCTCTAAGTTCTTTGGATTTGTGAATCATTTTTTATCCAACTAGTTTGTATTGAGATGTGTAATTCACATCACCGCCACTAGATGCTGCTAATGGGACTTTTTATAAAACATACTTTTTTACAAATGTTTAATATATTTAGACTCTGAATAAAAACAACATACCATCTGTTCTTGCCTCTGGTTGAGGGCTCCACGTTTTAAAACTACATTAATAAATCACCTTTTTCTTTGTTATTCCTTCATACACTTAGTTTCTCTTCATTCTGTGTGGCCTTAGTCCCTTCAGCTGATTACCAAACACTAATTCCTGTATTTTTCCTGCCCCATTGTGTCACTATTTTTACTTGCACTATTTTATGTATTTTTCTTGTAATGTTAACTATGTGGATTGTTGCATTGTTATAGGAGCCTGGGACTTAACCCACTGTAGCTTTTGTATATCTGATAGTAAAACCTTTGGATTTTTGAATCATTTTTGATCCAACAAGGTGTGATTCACATCACTGCCACTAGAAGCTTTTATTTGTATGCATTCTTTTTTTTACAAATGTTGTTGTTTTAAAGGTGGGGTAGGTAAGTTTGAGAAACCGGCTCGAGATACACTTTTTGTTATATTCCATGGAATGCTCTTAACATCCCGATAGCAATGAATATCTGAAGTGCTTTGACAAAAAATCCATAAAAAAATATCATCTGTGGAAGCCGTAATACTGTAAAAAGTACGACCAATCATCTGAGCCGGCCCGGCTAAAATAACTGGATGGCCTACCTGCCTGTCAGCCTTCCATCTGTGCACAAACTTATCTCGTGCCCTCATTGGTCATGTGCGCGTTCGTGTGTGTTGGAGGAGGGGCTCTGGAAGGAAGTGGCAGATTTTTTCCGGCTGTGTATTTTCAAATTCCAGCGATCTCGAGCTGGTTTCTCCAAAATTACCTACCCCACCTTTAATGTATCAGTCTATGATTTGGACACAACATGAAATAACCCTCTCTATAGTCTCTACTCTCTGGTTGTGGCTCCAAAGCTTTAAAAATAGACCATTAAATCACTTTTTCTTCACATTTAGTTTCTCTTCTATTCACTGCTCTCTCAGTTCTTTGAATTGTGTGAATCATTTGTTCTCCAACAAGTTTGATTTGAGATGTGTAATTCACATCACAGCCACCAGATGCTGCTAATGAGACTTTTTATAAAAACGTACTTTTTTACAAATGTTTACTGTATTTAGACACTGAATAAAAACAAACCATCTCTTCTCGTCTCTTGTTGAGGCTTTCAGGTAAAACTAGATAAATAAATCACATGCTCCTTGTTGTTTCTTCATACTTTTAGTTTCTCTTGTATTATTCTATCTCTGCTCAGTCTCAGGTGATTTCCTCACACATCGTCGCGTTGCAGCTTTCTGTTTCTAAAGAGGAAGAAGAGCGACTCATCATGTGACTCTTTCTTCATAACTAACAAACCAGGAAAACCTGTCAGTGTTCAACAGAGAAGCAGCGATGAGACACACCGATCAAGGCGAGTTTTACACTTTTCATCATTTAGTTTAAGCTTTTATCAAAACATAATACGTTTTATATGAATGATATAATGATATAAAAACCCTCAGTTGGCTTTTCTTCTACTTTCGTTTCTATGTTTGTGACGAGTTTCTTTGTGTTCATGCTGCAGGTGAGGTTATCAAAGTGACGATGAATAACAAACCAGTAGTTAAATATCTGTAAGGTTATTAAACTGTGGTTTAGTGAGTCTGTGGTGATTTAAAAGGACTTTGTAGCTCAGGTTGTTATGGTATTTGAAAACTATAAATGGATGTACTTTTTGCTGCAGTTTCCCCTTTAAAACATGAATTATGTATTTTTGTAAAGAGTGATTTTGGAAGTAATATAAGATAAACAAAAGAGACCATTCAACGAAATCTTCTTTGGATAACTTGGACACACTTAAAACTCACAACAGTATAACAATGACTTCACTGAGAGTTTTTATATTAATGACTTGATCTGCACAAAAGATATGACGTATTTTACTTTAGTTTTACGAAGAGTTTATTTTATGTTCAGGTGTTTATAATAAGATAGTAGGCCTACTTTATTGATCCCGATTTCGGAAACAAAAGTACCAGTCCAGTAGAAAACACAAATAGCAGTAAAGTAGCACTACCAAAACTATTAAACTAGTAGTAACTTTAAAGTGTACTTTGTTTAAGCTTAAGAGACAGCTAGAAGTAACAACTACTACACATTATACCAAGAAGTTCACTTATAATATAGTCACATTAAATAATACAATTTGTGTGCTTTACTCCTACACTCAAACTATACTTGGAAGTATATTGTTGTACAAAAGATTTGGCCAATTTAGTCCCAAGAAGTATTAAATTGATATATGAGTTGATGAGAAAATGAGTGTCCTTGGTAAATACACTTGAACTCTACTTAAGTTAATTATAAAATGTTTTTGAATAATTCTTCTTTTGAGCTTAATGTTAGTGGCTTAAGTGTCTACAGTTCAGATTAAAGTGAACTATCACAAATATTTAAGGAGTAGATTAAAGGTTATATGACATTTTGCTTTTATAACTATTAGTTGTTAAGTGCGTCCGTCAGGTATCAGGTGACACTTGTAATCTATTTTAAGAATAGATTCATCTAGATTTGTATCCTCTACTTATTTTAAAGTGTTCATCATTCTCCAGTAAATCAGATGAAAAGAACCGATACTGACCAATGTTACTGATTAAAACAAATGATTTCTTTGACTTATGTTTACTGCTTTTTAGTTCCTTTTTAAATTGAGGAATCATCGCTCTCGCTGCACACACTTCCCATCATCTGAAGCTGCTGAACAACATTCTCTACATGGTTTTGATTAAACAACAACTGATGTCGATGCGTTTGAAAACATATCTTGCTTGTTTATTAGTTCCAGTTCTGCTAGTTCAATAGCTTTAAATTAAGAGAAGTAATACATAGACTGCTGCTGACCTAACCCTAACCACAAACACGTAAGATACATTTAAGCAGAAGTTACATATTAATAGTCTGTGTGCATTATCAGATTGTCTTAAACCTCCTGATACAACATCAGCGTTATCACAGCCACAAATATATTGGTGAAGAAGCTGAACATCATGAGCTTCACAGTTTGATGTTTTGTTAGATTGTATTAGCGTAAACTTAAGCATAAGGTAGAACAATAAGCGAGTTACCCACTTAATCTAACAGACAGATTTATAATTGATAGTGTTTTAGTTAACACACAAAACATACGATTAAAACAAGTAATATTTATTGGTTAACTTGCTTGTTAATTGCTGAAAAGTGCCAGATTTAAAGAGCCAAAATGCTATATACAGTTCCTGGATATGTGTTACATAGAGTCACACACGACTAGCATGAAATAGACACAATTAACACTTAAACTAGTTGTATTCAAAGCGTTGGACAGGTAAGAATTTAAGTCCAACCTTAAATGACATACAATTATTCGTGAAAGGTATACAGGTGATGTGTCAAGGCCTTGAATAAACAAATAACATGTTAAAAACTACGCAATTTCACAAAGTTTGTTGTTAACTTTTGACTTTTGAATTGACATTAAGGCATAAGACATGACATAAACACAAATAAAACTTGTTTTAATAGAATAGGAGAGGTATAAAATACAAAAATAAAATGTACAGTGCAGTGTAAATTATGAATAGTTGTTTAAATAAAAAAGTGAATGTACTGTTATTATGCTGCGACATACTTCTACCATGGTTGGTTACTTATTTCATTTTATTCAAAGTGTATTGGCCTATTTTGTTCAATATTTTAACTGTTGTCTTTCATTTGCACTGTCTGTTACTGCTTTATTTCTAATGTTGTGTTTCCCCGCTGTGAGAAGAATAACTGAAAAACACGTTGATCCTCTGCGTGTGGTTGTTTTGAAGCGAACACCGCTCGCCTGTTTGTGACTCAAAGGTTTGTTTTCTCGGCAAGAAAAGGTCACACGACATCCTGACTGTGTGTGTGTGTGTGTGTGTGTGTGTGTGTGTGTGTGTGTGTGTGTGTGTGTGTGTGTGTGTGTGTGTGTGTGTGTGTGTGTGTGTGTGTGTGTGTGTGTGTGTGTGTGTGTGTGCGTGTGCGTGTGTGCGTGTGCGTGTGTGTGTGTGCAGGTCTGATGTTGGGGAGCCTTCTGCTCGTCTTCCTGTGTGTCGGCGCGGCGGCCAAGTTTGAAAGCCAGCTGGACGACCTCTGGGAGCTGTGGAAGAAGACGCACGAGAAGAAGTACACAGATGAGGTAAACTCAAAAGAAAAAAGGGATGTAAATGTGTTTGTGGGCGCAAAATCCATAATGTAGCAGTCTTTGACCTTACGCTCTCTTACTGTATATGTCTTTGTTTTGAGGTGGAGGATATGCACCGCCGGGAATTGTGGGAGAAAAACGTGATGCTCATTAGCATGCACAACCTGGAGGCCTCCATGGGGCTGCACACCTACGATCTGAGCATGAACCACATGGGAGACTTGGTGAGAAACTAGTGTTTATAATGAAGGGGAAAAGGTTTAGGGAACTGTTTTTATGATAAGCACATTTATTCATTCATCTAACAACAGTTTTTATAATGGTTAAAGGTCAGAAAGATGCAGCTTATGATTGGTTTTGAACTTTGATTCTCAACAGTTATTCATTATAATAATGTTTTATATATTACTTTTTGAAATATGCTGGAAATTAGCAGGCAACTGGATCTCAAAATCAGTATGTTGACATAATGATATGAATGGAAATGCAAACGAAAGCACCAAATAAGGGCGTAAGGAGTTGGAAAAACTGGAACTGCTACCTCGGCAACCCGACTCGGATAAGCGGGATGTTACGTTGGCCGACCGGTGCAAACATGCAACAACGTCCCAAAACACTTCTATTAGGAGTTGGTGAAGATATTTCTTCATTTGCAGGTCTTTTGGCACATTATACCCATTGAGCCAAAAGCTTCTCACTTATTTGACACTTTGTTATTCTAACAATATCGATCATAGCTGCTTTAACTAATCATTTCAGCTGAAGTCCCGTAAAAGTTCCTGTAATCAGGAAACAAATACCCACAGGCAGAATGTACATTTTTATATTTGGACGCTGAGCATTAGGCTTCGTCTTTTCACCCTTTGGCCCGTCCTCTGGTCCAACTTTGTGTGAAACTCTGCTTTTTCTCGGTTCAAGCCTTTGAGACTGGAGTAATGAGATGATTTGTGCTCTCAGCTCGACCACTGATCCACGGCTCCTGCAGGATGCATTCAGCACTTACTGTATGTGGAGAATAGCCTGCAGTATGTTCTGGGTGTATAATGAGTGTCTAAAGAAACCACGCTGCATACTGGAATATTAACTACGTGGTGTTTGGTTTGCATCCTTTAACCTGCCTCGCCTCAATCTGTGTCCGAGGGTCTTCGGAGATATTCAAGCTGAATTGGAGTAATTGACGCCAAAAAGTACCATAGCTGATTCCTGAGAACTGAACTGAACTCTCACACACTCACACAGTGAAAACATTACTCTATGTTTTAGGCCCCGGCCCCACGGGGACGCATACGGTAAAACGCAAACGCAATCGCAAAAAAGGCTTCCGTCCACACGCAATAGACACCGGAAAGTGTCTGTTCACACGAGACAGCTCCGTTTAACTCCAACTGCTCAAATCGGAGGTGAGCAGGAGAGGTGGGGAGAGGCGGGGAGAGGCGGGGCTATTGCGTCATCATTATCAGAAAATGATCGTATAGGGCGTAATAACGGAGCCGTTGGACCCCCCAGAGCGTTGCGTATGCCGTTCTATCCACCTCGGGACCCGTTATCGTTACCGTAGTCGTTTACTGCCATATTCTGTCGTCCTAGTGTGGCCGAACGGTCTATATGACACAAAACTGTAACGGAAACTACCGTATGCGTCCTCGTGGGGCCGGGGCCTGAGTTTACAATGTAGAAGCTTTTGGGTTTGTATTCTAAACCCCACATTAATCTTCTAACTTTCCAAACCTTTGTTCAAATGTTTTCCAAAGAACACAGGAAATATAGCTGGAGTAAAACAAACATAAAACACACTTTGATCCTGAATTTTCTGTCAATTATAGACCTTTACCTTACTATCAAAGAGTCGTGTGATTTACTAATAACCAAATGTCATTTTGTTTATTTTTTTATTCATGTACAGTACAGTATGTAAATGTGTCAAACTTATCCAAGAGGCTATTTTTCATCTGTAGTCCCTGAAAATATGTTTTAAAGTCACCCTAACAACTAATTATATTTAAAACAACAAGTCAATAAAATAATGCCACATACTAGCGGTTCACAATACAGAAAATGCGAATAAAAACTATTCTTTTTTAAATAATTGGGCAGTGATGAGGATAAACATATTTCTCATTGACTATTTCTACTTTCTACTTGCATCACAACACAGAGACAGCTCAGGTGAAGGTCAAAAGTGACCCCTGAGACAGTTTGTGATACTGGGCTATATTAATATAATTGTATTTGTTGTTCTTCCTGACAGACAGCAGAGGAGATCCTGCAGTCGCACGCCATGCTCACTCCTCCCAACGACATCCAGAGGGCACCCTTAGCCTTCAGAGGGGCTTCAGGCGCTAAAGCCCCCGACACCATGGACTGGAGAGACAAGGGCTGTGTGACCAGCGTCAAGATGCAGGTGAGGGGGACCTCCAGTGGATTCAAGGATTCAAGGATTCAAGGCTTTTATTCTCAGTTGTACATAGCTCTATATACAACCAGGGTTCCCCCCATAGTGATGTATTCTAGTCAGTGGTGTAAAGTAGACTTACTCAAGTAGTGTACTTAAGTTACATTTTGAAGGACTTTCAATTTAGTTTTTCAATGTAATGCTGTTGCACACAACCCAACAGTATTTTCCTGTACATCATGAGCGTCCACCTTGGATGTATTTCTATCAAGATTCAAGATTCAAGGCTTACAGTGTAGATATATCAATGAACATCTTAGGTCTCAGGCTCCTCCAACACAATAAAACAGATAAAATAGTGCAAGTAAATACAAATAAAATAGAAATAGTGTAAGAAGAAGATATTTGCGGTGTTTAAGAGGTTTAAGAACTCACTTTCTTTGTTTGTCTATTATATCTAACATTACATGTCATTTGTTAGACACTTTTATCCAAAGCGACTTACATACATTCAGTACTGTAGACAATCCCCACAGGAACAATTTGTGGTGAAGTGTCTCAGGGACACAACGACATGCTGTCTGCAGTGGGACTAGAACTTGCTATCCCCTGATTCGAAGTCCAGTACACTATCCACTGAGCCACAGCCTCCCTACATGTTGCACAGAACTGAAGTCTTTCCAAAACCAATACTTGTGAGTTTGGTTGAATGATATTAATCTGCACCACTTCTTCCTCTTCAATTAACACAAATCTTATTGACATACTTTAGTTGTATGATACTATAAATAATCAAATGAAGGTCAAAGTTATATTTATTTTATTGGCGGCCATTTAAAGGCTGTATGTACATTTCACATTTTTGTAACTAAGAGTTATTTTTTCAAATCTAGGAACAGTAATTAGGTCAAACATAATTTTGCACATTTTGTACAAAGGTACTTATTATAAAACTTCCCCTTTAAATTCTGATATTATGCACATCAGTTATTCTTCATATATATTTTCCGAAATATTCCTGATGTACTTAATAATTTTTACACATTTAAAATAGTTTTTTAGTTCTAAATGTGATAAGTTTTCTACAGCTTATCTCCTGTGCTTATGTATGCCCCATTATACACCAAAGCTAATGTCTTTTATGTCGCTTAATTGGCCATACACCAATTTTAGATTGTGAATTCAACCTTAGAAATGTAAACCAGCAGCGGTCAGGTGATGAGCTATAGGTTTGGTTTTGGTAATGCATGTGACACATCTTCCACACTAACAACCCAGTTGATGTGGCAATAAAACGTGCGAAACTGGCGGTTGTGGTGACGACTTCCTGTAATAAAACCAACAGCTGCTTACAGAAACTAAAGGAGGACGGTGGGAGGATGACCGTTTATTGCGTCACTGTTAAGACACAGTTCTCTGTTCCTATTGAGTCACTGAACTTTTGAAAGAACATCCATAACATTCATGTTTGCTACTTACACATTATTTATCTAATATATCATATTCCAATTACTTATATATAGACTCTTATGGCACTATGTGTATTCCATTTTTGTATTTGCTTGCACTATTTTATCTGTTTTATTGTGTTGCTCTGTTGGAGGAGCCTGTGACCTAAGATTTTCATTGATATATCTACACTGTAGCTATGTACACATGACATTAAAAGCCTTGAATCTTGAATCTTGATAGAAATACATCCAAGATGGACGCTCATGATGTACAGGAAAATAGTGTTGGGTTGTGTGCAGCAGCATTAAATGTAAAAACTAAGGTGAAAGTCCTTCAAAGTTGATCTTAAATACACTACTTGAGTAAGTCTACGTAGTTACTTTACACCACTGACTAGAATACATCACTATGGGGGGAACCCTGATTGTGTAGACTCTCCTTGCACTATTTCCAACAATTCTTTTTGTATTTACTGGCACTATTTTATCTGTTTTATTGTGTTGCTCTGTTGGAGGAGCCTGTGACCTAAGATTTGCATTGATATATTTACACTGTAGCTATGTACACATGACAATAAAAGCCTTGCATCTTGATCTTGTTTAACACCCAGGGTTCCTGTGGCTCCTGCTGGGCCTTCAGTGCTGCAGGGGCCTTGGAGGGCCAGTTAGCCAGGACCACAGGGAAGCTGGTGGACCTGAGTCCCCAAAACCTGGTGGACTGTTCTGGAAAATACGGAAACCTCGGCTGCAACGGGGGCTACATGAGCAAGGCCTTCCAGTACGTCATCGACAACCAGGGCATCGACTCCGAGGCTTCGTATCCGTACAAAGGACAGGTGAGCATCCTGCTGATGTTCAGGTGTATATCAGTATGTAGTGTCTCTACTTTAAAGAGTCCTCTCCTGCTGATGTTCAGGTGTATATCAGTATGTAGTGTCTCTACTTTAAAGAGTCCTCTCCTGCTGATGTTCAGGTGTATATCAGTATGTAGTGTCTCTACTTTAAAGAGTCCTCTCCTGCTGATGTTCAGGTGTATATCAGTATATAGTGTCTCTACTTTAAAGAGTCCTCTCCTGCTGATGTTCAGGTGTATATCAGTATGTAGTGTCTCTACTTTAAAGAGTCCTCTCCTGCTGATGTTCAGGTGTATATCAGTATGTAGTGTCTCTACTTTAAAGAGTCCTCTCCTGCTGATGTTCAGGTGTATATCAGTATGTAGTGTCTCTACTTTAAAGAGTCCTCTCCTGCTGATGTTCAGGTGTATATCAGTATGTAGTGTCTCTACTTTAAAGAGTCCTCTCCTGCTGATGTTCAGGTGTATATCAGTATGTAGTGTCTCTACTTTAAAGAGTCCTCTCCTGCTGATGTTCAGGTGTATATCAGTATGTAGCTCACATGCTTCAGAAGGATTTGGAAAAGCCATTACACTTGGATAAAATGTGAAAAGGAACTTTTAAAAACCCAAATGTACACACTTGTATACAAATCCAAGTATTGTGGGGTCAAAAAACATGACCTGTTAAAAAACACCTTTACTGAGATGGCAGAACTTCAAATAATAATCCTCCTTTGATAAGCAATCATCCGCAGGTGTGTAGGGAGTTTGATCGAAGTAGAGACCTGCAATGACAAAGAGAAAAATAAGTCAAAACTTCTTTTAGAATAAAGGGTCAGATATCAGATACACTGAATCTGCTTAAGTTCAATTGAAACACAACATGTTGTTTGTATGAATAGTTTCTTTTAGCAAAAATGTTAAAAGTTCACATTTTCCAACTTTTAATGTGCAAAATGTGTGTTCCTACACATCTGTTACAATTAAATGCATTTTGGTTTATGGGTTCGACAAACTAGACTGTACCTCAGACTTAGGGAACTTGTGATCTGCATTAAAGGTGACAATGGTATATATTGCAATTAGCTTTATCAGTCAGAACTTCCTCGACACCGGAGGGGTCTACTCGATGAAGACCTCAGCCCAAAATGAACTTTAAAACTCAATTAGAACGTGGTGTTTTAGGTGGAAGCATTTAGGAGTGCAAACTCAGCTTTACAGTCAACACATTCCTGTATGAGCAAACAATGTGGGTGTAGAAGAAGTTGAGCTCGCCCCTGCAGGCTGTAGACGGCAACACTCGCTTCACTCGTCTGTGGTCCGCTGTTAATGTCTCTTTGGAGCAACAATAAATTAATCTGAGCGGACAGCGTGTTTGTCCTCCAGGCTGCATCTGTTTGTGTGGAAGAGGAGGAGGAAGGAGACTGTTGCAGCCTCACAGAGGTGTTTTGGTTTACCCACAAAATAAAGAAAATGATTGAACATTTCTGGCTCTGGATAGAAAACGCATATATTTAGTGCTTAGGAAAATGAAGAGGTTATCTTTTTACCTGCATGGACGTCACCAGAGTTAAGCCAACTTCAAGTTATACGTTGAGTTGCTTTTCGAGTCCTATCAGGTATGTTCCATCCAGTATAAATCATCACTTTTAACCCCAGTTTGTCCTCTGACTTCAGGACCAGCAGTGTCAGTACAACCCTTCGTACCGCGCTGCTAACTGCTCCAGCTACAGCTTCCTGCCTGAGGGGAACGAGGCCTCTCTGAAGGAGGCGCTCGCCAACATTGGACCCATTTCAGTGGCGATTGACGCCGAACAGCCCAAATTCCGCTTTTACAGGAGCGGTACGTTTCACATCATGAGCTCCACAGGCTCTTTTTCTTTACTAACATGACTGAAATAGATGCAGAAAGATCCAGATATGTTTAGTGAAGGGTGGTGGTGGACTCTTAACAGGTTGCTGAAAAAAGGTCACAGAGGGAGAGTGATTTTTAACACTCATACTTGCAAAAAAGTCAAGTTAACACCCCCTAAAAATCTTGTTTGTGCACACCTATAGTGGGTAAATGTGTCACCTTGCTGCATGTACAGGCTCGAGGACCCAATATGTCACGGTTGAGCGTAGCTAAAGGTTTACCAATGAGGACAGCAAGATGCAGCTTTGACGTTACTCTCCAAGCTTTTTGCTTTAAAGTAAATGCTGATTGCACAATGCAGTTGACATTGATTGATACTTTTTATTTTGAACAAGTAAATTAATAATTACAAAACAAAACAAATGTTGCAGTGCATAGTCATGTAAGAGAAATCAAAACAAAAAATGACATTTACAACAACAACAACAACAACAACACCAACAGCATTAGCAACATAAACAGTCCCACATCTAGTGTTCGAAAAGGAGTGAGAAGAAGTATCACTTATTTAATCTCACCCCCTTGTCCCTAAATGATTTATTTATAATCTGTAATCTGCAATAATTATCATTATTATTAATTATTATTGTTATTATTATTATTAATCTGCTTTACCTGTTGATTGACATATATACATATACACATATGTACATATATACATATATGCACATATACATATACACACCTACATACTCACACATATACACATATAAAAAGGCAACATAGAAGTTTAGATTGGTTCCCTAAATGACTTGTGAAATTCGGTCTGCAAACAATGATGTTCCCCAGGTATCTATCAGTAGTTATCCCCAGTTAAAAAAGTATACATTTAAATTTGTATCCCCTCTAGGAGAAATGGCAGAACAACTAAAGTAACGGTGGAAAACAAAGTGTAGTGTCTCCTGTGAAATGTTAGACTCTGAGGAAAATGTAAAGCAATTCGGTTTTTCTTTTTAGAGCAACTGCAACAGTAATACTATTGAGAAACGCTGTGGAGGCCCATTTGAAAAACTGTCCATTGTCACTTTTAAAGCTTTTATTAACAGGACTCTGAATCCCTAACCTGCTAGAAAAATGAACAAATGTCAGATTTAAATGACACTACTGATTGATTCACCAGCTATGCATACACATATATATAATATGTACACTAATATTGAGAATGATACCATTTATTTAAACGCAATATTTCACAATCAATTCCCTGACCCCTGCTGTTTCAGGGGTGTATGATGACCCAAGCTGCACCCAGAACACTAACCACGGGGTGTTAGCTGTGGGGTACGGCTCTCTGAACGGACAAGACTACTGGCTGGTGAAGAACAGGTGAGACCTTTTTCTTATACATTTAGTTCATATAAACACACTGATTTATGACTTACTTACGTACAGTAGTTCCTGTATGTTCCGCCCCCATCTGAGTCCCCGTGTGGTGGAGGGGAAGTGAAACGGGGAAGTCAATAATGTGCCGGAAAGTACACGGTTTCAATAAGCAGAAAGGGTTTGGGTATTCTGCTGACACGAGTTTAGTGGTTGACTTAAAAGTCCACAAACAGCTGCCTCTCAGGCAAACATTCACTCAAACGGCAGTGAAGGTCTTAATCAGACGACGTCAGGAAATCCTTTGTGTGAAAAAGAGAAGAAGGAGTTTCATTTTTACATGACATGTTCTTTTTGTTATTTCTCATTACTGTGTGAAAAACATTTTAATCCTCTTGATATGTCTCTGCCACACAGTGACTTATTTATTTATTCCTCCTAAATGATTTTGATGTATAAACCGTGAGATTGGCCGTTTAATTTAGAGTTTAAGTAACCCATGAAACACCTTTAACGCCAACGTTTTCCCAGTAGATTATTGTCTATATTACATTTTGAAAAGCCTTTTGTGTAGCGTCTTCACTCAGGTGTTGTTAAAGTTGAAACACATGGATCTTTGATGTAGAATCACGTATGTTGGGGTTGGGTTTAGGCAACAAAGCCACTTGGTTTGGCTCTGAATAACAATTATGCTTTGTTAGAATAAGCGGCAGATATCATGTTACTCAGTGACGTAACATTACATGACATGTCGCCCGGAAAAATATCTCAACATTTGGTTTAACATGAGATACGAATGCGTGTCTCATGGCTAAATGTCGTGTGTTTTTTTGGACCCAGCAGACTTTCGGTCTTTTAAAACCATGTCCATTTCTCTAAGGTGTTGATACTGGAGTTAATTACAACGTGTCTTTACTTGTGTGTCAGTATCAAGACACCAACAACAAACAATGTCTGTATTTGGAGCTATCACTGAGTTTGTATTCTGCACTTCTGATGCGTTTCAATTAACCAATAGGACTTTCATTGAAAGTAGTTGTTATTCTAGCTTTACACTAATTCATTTTCTTAATTTCAAGCTCATTATAATTCCAAGAATGAAAATCGTGCATGCATGGGGGCGCTATTGGTCGACTTAATGCATGTGGATGACTCTTCTGGTCATGTTCTAATCACTCAACAAGGATTTCAATAATATAAACATGATTATATTTTCATTAACTTGTTTCTCTGCTCTTTCTGTCCAGCTGGGGAACGTCCTACGGAGAACAGGGCTACGTCCGGATGGCACGCAACAAGCAGGACCAGTGTGGCATCGCTCTGTACGCCTGCTACCCCGTTATGTAGCTGCAGAAGAAACAGGCTGGATACTTAACGTCCCTTTCAGTTTTATATATCCACTATTTTTAAAGTTACATTTTATAATGATCATAACAGTTTTCTTCAGGTTGGGTTTTGGGAAATTCCATTGAATGCACCTTCGAAGGGGAAAAGCCAAGAACAGGAAATCTTTAAATACTACAGTTTTATCATTTATCTTGTCTTTACTGTGTGCTTGAATCTTTAATAAAGAGACATGTACTGTGTAATCTTGCCCTTTCAGATCTGTCTTCTGTGCCGTAGACGTGATGACAGCGAATATCTGATTTTACACCGGCTGTTTCAGGTTTTTCACTCTGTTAAATCGGCCATGAAAACTGCCTGAAAGGATTCCATTGACTCTTTGGGAAATTGGCTTGTTGGTCAATTTAGCTTTTACATGTTACGACAGAAGGAACGCCAAAATCAATACTCGGCCGTGTCTCTGGTAAAAATCTCTGTCCTGTGCACATGCTGATGGTATAGCATGACATAATGCAGCCTGCAGGCAAGTTACATTGTCTTGAAGTAGAACAGCTTTCTGATATGTTGTTGGTGGTTTTTTTGCACCCTCTCATCAAACACTTAGCCAAGTCCAAGCAGTCGGTTGAAACTGTTTGTTATTTTAAAGCTTATATGCTTTTTAGAATTTAAAAAAGGAGATACACACCACTCTCATAATGTCGTTTAAATTTGAAACTAAATCCAGGATCTGGGTATCCAGGATAACAAAATGTATCTATCATTAGAAAAGCAATGTGTTACTTAACGGTATTAAGTAACACAAAAAACTCAACTGTAGAGAGTGCAGTTTTACGACGCACAGGGTCGGGTTGCAGTCATTATGCTAAGCTAACTTGCTTCTGGGTGCAACTTCACATTTAGCATACAGACTTCTTGGCAATAAACTGAATATCTCCGGGTACAATAGTGATCCGAAACGTATATTTATATAAACATGTCTATTTTACAAACCTACCAAGCATTGTTTGAACCCAAAAACATCTAAAACCTTCAAAAAATACCAATACGTAAGGCTGAATTTGGGTACATTTCATCATTTTAAACCACAAAGCCAAAGGAAATTGCATTTTGATGCTGAGGAAAAACAAGTATCGGATTGATTGATTTTATGGAGAACCATAGAAGGCTAAAAGAAGCAGGTATTAAATATATACTGCATACTTTAAAGGCAATACCAGCTTTTATGAGGGTTATTCCTTTCAGTTTGATTGGATGGCTAACATTTCATTCAAGAATACAGTATATATATATAATATCATTGTCAGTATTGCCCTTTAAAAGCCGAGAAAGATTCCCCGCTAACACGTCCAGCAAGGTCAGAATAAAGTCAACAGAAAACAGGGTTGGGTTACAAATGAGTCATTTTTATTTTTTTAGTGCAACATCACAACAAACAATTTTCACATGAGGTATTCAAAGGGATTTTCTTTAGTTGTTGATACAAAATGTCCCACCATGATTGACGTTTAAAGTGTTGTGTATCTTATTTTTTTTAAAGCCTTTGGTTGGTTAGCCACATTCATTAGTAAGTCTAACACATGGACAAGAATGGCACGATAAAGCATGGTGGGTCGAGTCCAAGCTGAGGAAACTCAGACTCAGTCAAATATAATATTTCCCTCAGCTCTTCCCCGTTTAAAGCTTTTGTATGGATTTCATTAATTCCTACTTACAACAGTGGGATCGAACAGTATTTCAACTACACTAAACATTTTGGAAAAAACAGGGGTGGGAGGGGTGGCTTACAAATGTGGAAAAATAGCTTCTGTCTCCTCCGACCTTTTTTATTTTTGGATGAGCGCTTGATTCTTGGGCTTTTTCTGTTACAGCAAGTCACATGATACTAGTTTTTTGGAAAAAAAAGGAATAGGCAACGTTGATTACAGCAAGATCCTCCTTGCTTGGATTGTCACCTCCTTCTTTTTTGGTCTTGAGAATGATTTTATTTATATACAGAACATGGATCGATGGGACACTAGCATACTGTACTTAAAGCTTTGGCTGGACGGGGGCCGCGTTCGGCTCCTGTTACGGATTGATTCCAGCACATTTGGTTTGAAGTAAAAGGCATGAAGAAGAGACGGATGGACAGACAAGATAGATAGATAGATAGATCGATAGATAGATAGACAGACACCCTGACAGGATGGATTCTTTGGTTAAGGAATATCTTTGCCACACAACATCTCACACAGTTGAGGTAGATGGGTAAAGTCTTCATGTACACACATGGGGGAGGAGGGGAGGACAGACAGGGGGACACTGGGGTTCACAGAGTCAAAAGACTTCCATCTGAAGACACTGCCTCATGTCAGTTTCTCAGTTCCAGCTCAACATAATACTGTTTTATGCAACATAAATATTCAGCACGCGGAACCCCACTGGTGCTTTTTGAATCCTCTGAGTGCTACGGTAGCTCTGATAGGGAACTGCTAAAACTACCCATGATACATAATGATTCAGCAGTTACCCATCAATCTTTGGTTGTTTTTTTGGTTTAAACATTATCAAAAAAATTACCTTTTTTTTTTCATTTTTTCTTTTTTTTCTTGAAAGTATACATTTGCTTTCAGTTCTTCTATTTCATTATTTACGCTCTCCTCAGACTTGCTCTGCAATGGCCTCGGCTGCCAGACTTGCTTCAGGGTCAAGTTTCTAGTAAAGCCACTAGGGGGTGCCGCAGGCTAAAATGGCAAAGCTGATCACCTGCAGCAGCAAACTGGTTCACTTCCCCCTCCCTCCTCCCTCCTCCCTCCCTCTCTCCTGTATCTGTACAGAAAGGGAAGAGCTTGGCTGCTTGACACGAAGCAGAAGGTGGCTCAATACAAACAGCTCTGTCTCCATTTTAGGCTCCCAGTCAGACGGACAAAGGGAAACCTGAAAGGTGTCACCTCAGCTTTGATACAATGACAGTAGTGAGCAGGGGTCGGCAGAGCCTCAAAGCTCTTTTATTTTGTATCCCCCCCCCCCCCTGTACAGACACCCCTGCCACCGCCCCCCTTAGCTCTCAGCATGCTTACAATTGTTGCTCATTAAAGTTTAATTCAGCTCCATGCCCCACTACTCCAACACCTCCTACCCCTCGTACATCCTCCCTCCCACCTTTCCTACACAAACACCAGTACCACCCTCCTCATTCTGGATGATTCAGCCTCCTCTCTGATCTCCCCCCGCCCCCCTTTGAATGCCCCCTAAGGCCCACAGGTCTGGCCAAGAGCGGACCCCAGACCAGATACCCAGAGAGGAGACGGGATGAAAAAAGCCTCCCCTTTGAAGTCAGCGAAAAAGTCGATGGCCTCTTTCATGACCGCCCGTCTTTCAAGTGCACGCTGTGAAGGGGGCCCGGCAATCCGCCCCCTTCTACCGTTAAAGACAGAAAGAGGGAGGGGGAGAAAAGGTGGGAAAAGCCAAGCTAACCTTGCCACTCTTTGGCACGGCAGCATTTACACAGGTGTCAGATCTTTGGTGTTTTTCTTGATTTAATCATTCACAACATAAAATACTGGAAAGTCAAATCACTTGTGCCTGTGCAAGTTGCTGGGGGGACCCTAACAACCCTAGAAAACCTGGAACAAACTACAAAAAAACCCAGATGATCGTTCTAAGAAGCCTTGCAACACAATCTAAAATCACTGATTAGGCCGGCTTCTTAGGCCAATAAGGGTCCAGGGACACATCTTACAAGCACTAAGAGGGCTTCACATCCAAAGGTGAATGCCAAGCAAATAAGGAACAAACCAAAACAACCCTAGAAGACCAGGAACACACTCGTAAGACCTTTAGAAAACCAAGGGAACCAGCATCCAAGATCCCCAGAAGAAGAGGAATACGCCCGAAGGACTGAAATGTCCAGGAACGAACCCTAAGATCTTAAGATCCCCGGTAATCAACTCCCTAGATCCCCAGAAGAAAAGGACCACACCTGAGGATCCCAAAAGGTCAAGTAACGAACCCTAAGACCTTTGGAACCCAGGGAATATAAACCCAAGATCCCTAGAAGACAAGAAACACTCCTGAAAGACCCCAAAAGGTCCCGGAAGGACCCTTAAGTACCGTCTGGGAACTGAGACAACTGGCAGAAGGGCTTGGCATGTGGAGGACGGTGAGATCACACTGAGTTGGACATGGACAGGAGAGTCTGCACTGCACCGGGGAGGGGGGCAAGTGAGGGAGATGTCGGGGAGGTCACAACCATGCATTTCCCCAGGCAGACACACAGTATGCATGTTTGCATGTGACCCTGAAGGACTTGCACTCAATGAGGCTTTCAGACGGCGCTTTAAGTGGATCCCCAGACACTTTACACACTCCGCCAGATGGCATTGGTCTGAACACAACTTTACAAGCAACCTGTGAACCAATGGGATGCCACATCATTGTTATTATTATTATCATTATTGTTATTATTCATAGTATTAATAATTATAAATATTATCACAACATTCAAACAAGCTTTGGCCTTGGCGTTAAGAGCTGACCGCAGAGACATTTGCAAGAGTAAAGAAATCCCCCGTTATTCTACAAAACAAAAACAAAAACAAAGGCCTGGCCTTAAAGATAGAGAGAGATACGCAACATCACTGGGTGGGTCGGGCTGAATCGGGTTGGGGTCAGGACGGGGTGGGGTACAGGGTTTGGGGATTCAGGCCGTACATTCAGGGAGGCAATGTTAATCTTTGGTATTACGATGGGATTCTACAGCTAAAAGTGCCCATCAGAAAAAGTCTTCAGTTTCACACAGACATACAGAGCATTGTTAAATAAATACTTACAGTATATAGATAGCTTAAATAAATAACCAAATAAATAGAGAGGAAATGAAAAGGGAACAAAATAAATACACAAATGCAGTAATAAATACATTGATCAGATCAGCAAATTGCATTTGAAACGTTCTTGGTTTGATTTATCTATTGGCTATAAGGAGGCATGTTAAAGCCTTTCCTTTGTGGACCAAAAAAATGACCTTGTACGTCAGCAGGGCTGATACAAACTGCCCCACTCCTCCATCGTGTTTCTATAAATAGAGCGATGTGCTTGAAATCTGTACAAAAAGGGCTGAAAGAATCACATTCCTCCATTTTCTAGACATCTGTAAAAAAAAGATTTCGTAATGGAGTAGAGGTGTGTACAGTTGTTTGGTAATGAGTGGAACAAAATACTACAACGTCACTATACATTGTGTCAGGTGTAGCTCTTCCCCGTGGAGCCTTTGTGTTCAAAGGTTGTTTTTCATTTTTTCTTTTTTTTGGCTTGATTTCGAGTGAAAAAATGGCTGTTGAGCTTTCATCTGGAAGCTCAGTGAGAGTCTTAAAGCTAGACAGTTGCACCAACAAGTCTCTTTCTGCGTCCTACTTGTGTTTATTGATTCTGTCCCCGGCGTACGGCGAGAAGCACCGCTCGTTCCCCCCTCGAAAACTCTGATTCATTCAAGGCGGGACCATCTTCACAATATACAGGAAAAGGCTCCTGTGGATGGTTAATGATTGACAGCTGGGAGTCGCGGACGCTACAGAAACCTCCGGATAAATCCAGGCTCCGAACTTGGAACAATGCCATACTAGTCCTGGGAACCATCACCATGGAAACACATGCTAAGAAAGGAGAATAAGGTTCTTCAGAAAAAATGGGAAGTAACACCAAAAAAAAAGCCTTTTTCTTCCTCGTTCACCTTGATTCGTGAGGAAGAACAGGACCATAAGAACATTGGGGGAGGGTTAACGTCTTTGGATGGTGGTGAACACTTTTGATTAAGAAAATTACACAATGGAGCTCTCCACATGTGAGCAAAACGGCACCTCTTGATTCTTCACGTTTGGAGAGATGACTATAGATTAGAAGGTACACCCTCATTATGTCTAATCTAGATAATCAAAATAATGCAATGAGATGGTGTCTATGTAAGGGCGTGACTCTTCTTTGAGTCAAATCATCTTTGCACCCTCGACTGTACAAGCAGGACCTCACATCCTGCGATCATATCACTCTGGGTTTCGCCCCCTTTTCTCTATTTCAAGGAGGCGATCAACTTTGGTTTTGGGAAAATGCTTCATCTTCATAAAATCATCTATAATAGCTGGCTCCGTCGCTCCTTCTGATAACGAGGAGGACATTTATGACGGCTGATCTCTGCCTAGACCAGTCTATGTGCCCCCTTGCTCCCTCGGCGCCTTCCCCCAAAATCGGCGGTCCGTCATCATGCCGTGCTGCAGGAAACTGCGGAGGAGGAGACGCTGGAGCCCGAGGAACCCGTGGAGGAGGGACGGCCCTCTTCGGCCCACTTGTTGACGTTGCGTCGGCGGGCGTTCATGAAGAAGTTGCTGACGGTGGTCAGCTCCAGGCCCAGCTGCTGGGAGATGGTGATCTGCAGCTCTTTGGTGGGCCGGTGGTTCTCCCTGAAGATGGCCAACAGGGTGCGCCGCTGCAGGTCCGTGAAAACCAGTCTGGTGCGTTTGGGGCCCTGGTTTCGCTCCAGCTTGCTCTGTTCCTGCTCCTTCCTCTTGCAGGCTGCAGGCACATGGATACAAAAAAAAGACACATTAAATAAAGGGGAAAGGGGGGGGACAGAGGGTAACAGATCGGATGGCTAACTAGGACAAATGGATTAAGCCGAGGGAAAGTGGATTTGTTGAAAGAAAACAGATTAGCGAAGCAACTTTGATTAGTTAAAAGAGATGAATCAGCAACTTGTTTCATTGTGCACTAAAGGAATCAAGATGTTCAGCGTCTCACATGGTGTTGCCAGTGAGCTGCTGGAGGCTGCTGGGATAAAGTACATCCAGGCCAAAGCTCGCCATGCTTTTCACTATGCTCTTTTTTTCACTTTTGGAAGACTGCATCGTGGCCTGAAGACAAAGAGCTAAATCTGCTGTTTTCATCCAATAATAAGGTCTTCCAAAAAATGTCTAGTGCATTTTAACACATCAATATATGCACAGCAAAGCTCTTATTTTTGCAAAAGGACACGTGAACTCATTATAGGTCATCTTTTTTCTTTTGCTACAATAAAATGGGTGCAGCTTGTGTGTCCTAAAAACGATGACAGTATTGATGGGTGCTGGGTTTTAAATATTAAACTGCGATTTACAAGCACAATAAAAAATGCTACTCAGGCTAAAACAATACAAAACCAGAAACATTCAAATTGAAGACGAGTACAACACTATTAAAGAATATGCATTAGATTTTTCCACATTTTGTGACTGCACTTAAAACTTCCTAGATGTATTTGCCACATTTTATACCACAGAGGACAAATTAAGCTCAATGTCACCACTTTCCATATTATAGCTTTTGAAGCAGTCATAGGGGCGATCAAGTCTTCTGGTAATTTGTTTTTTAATGCCAGTCTTGCTTACACCAACCTCCAAATAAAAACGCAGAGTCCGGGTTAAACACCGCTGTAGCTGTGGCAACCCGTCCAATTATATAATCAATATTTCCTCATGAAAAGTCTGAAATGTATTTATTTATTTTGAAAGAAGACGGTTTTGTTCAGTGAGGAAGAGCCTGATGTGTGTGGGTTGAGCTCAGATCCATTTTGAGAGTCAGGCGAGGCATTTTGAATGGCATGTTCCCGTTCTGCATATCCATCGCTGAACCCTCCACCTCGAACACGCTGTCATTCTGTATTTACAGGGAACACAACACCAACCTCTGCCTTTGTGTACCGAGCCAACTCCCCCCCCCCCCTCTTCCTCCCCCCTTTCTCTCTTTTCTGTGTCCATCTCCTTCCACTACCTCTCCTCCCTTTCCCTTAGTGGACACTTCAACATCATTAGTTTCTCATAAAAGTCATTTACATGTGGCGGCAGTGAGTGAGTAATAATCACTTTAGGGGGGAACTAATTTATTTTCTATTAAAGGCGGGTTACGTCAGGGGTGAGTGAAAGAAGCAGCGTCGGCATGGCCCTCGGTGTTTAGAAGCCTTAAGTGGACTAAAACATATTTGGGGGGAGTCGTGCAATTACCTAAATGCACACTTTTAAGAGGTTTCAATCAGCACTGTGCGGCTGAGCGACTGTTTTGCTGATGGTATCAAATGCTTTTCTAAGTGTAAGCATTGGTGTATGTGCAGACTACACAAATACACACACACACACACACTCAGGGAGGAATAGGTGCAGACGCTGGACTGTGCTGGCCTTTAAGCCTGTAAACAGAAATGCACTTTCTTTCGTTTTTGCTAACTAATGTGATTGCACTGTTATTTTTTCAGTATTAAAATGATTCTTTTATTTGGTGGATTTTTAAATTGGGACTTTACATTGAAATTGGGCATATTTGACCTGCTGTATTAGAAAGTTTAACACCAATCGAAGAACACAAATGTGGGTTTAACACTTGGTCCGGAGACTTCTCATAAAAAAAAAGAAAATTATAATGAAAATAATGTATAAAATAAATATAATAATAACAATCCTTATGCAAACAAATCATTTTAGTTTTGAAAAAGTCTAGAATGACTAATGTGTACACATTCAAGAACAATCTAATGATGTCAACCTGTTTTCTACTCAAATTAGATTAGTATTTCTTTAGAAATAAAGCAGAAATGCAGCGAAGAATAACTCTTGAAACAATCTGTCTTTTGTTGGAAACTTGAAATAAATAGTAATCCTGCTGCACTGGCAGATTTCTTCACTTGTAAACAAGCTCTATAGTACTCTATTATTGACCGAAATGGCTTGATTAAATAAAAATATCAGCTAGCAATAACCTTGAATTCCCACATAGGAAACCCCTAACACACACACACACACACACACACACACAGAGACACACTCACACTCACGACAAACATACATTCTATAAACCGAAGAAGCTGCCTTTTGCTCTCAAAACAGCGCTGACACGTTCGATTGATTGGCTTAAATCTTCCCATTGAGAAACATCTCACACAGCGAGGGGCCGATGTTGACTGTATGACCCGCTCCTCACTCCTCAAACTCACAGCTGCAAATTCCTCTCATTAGCACAGCGCTTGAGAAATAAGTGTGACCTTACTGCCGTTCTGTTTCCACACGAGTGCCAACACAACAGCAGTGTGTGTGCGCGTGTGTGTGTGTGTGTGTGTGTGTGTGTGTGTGTGTGTGTGCGTGTGTGTGTGTGTGTGTGTGTGTGTGTGTGTGTGTGTGTGTGTGTCCTGCACCTTTGATTGCTCTGACATCCAGCTGAGTTTCTGAAACTTAAGCACTTGAATGGACATGAATAAACCTCGCTGTGATTTCCCCCCTTTCTCCTCTGAAATCATTATCCGAAAGGAAATGTTTTGACTCGGGGATGCACTCTTGTCAACTCGAGATTACAGGTGCCTGTTATCTTTTAGGCATCCGTAGCTCGTTTGCATTTCTGAGAGTTATCGAACCCTGTCTCATTAAAAACCTGAACAGGCCCAGATGTCAGCGGCATGTCAATATCACTACAAGTGAAATTATTATTATTTTTCACTCCAAATGCTACATTTTTCACGGGCGTCACACCATCCCCAACATCAATATCTCTGAGCCGGGGGTTGGGAGGTATCTATGGAAAAGGTATATACAGTGGAGCACTCTCAGCTCGTGTAGTAATGAAAGGAATGACATGATAGTGCTGGATAGCTTGCTTGTAGCGTGGATTTATGGCTTGTTGGAGTCGCGGTGTCCTCCTCCTCCTCCGCCTCGCCTCCATCCCATCCCCGGCTCTCTCCCTTCCTGACGATCATAACGCCGGCCATTAAGTAAATGCTTCCTTATGCTGTAATCATGTGTAAAAGGCTCACAATTACCATGCTATAAATCCTTTGCGCCGGGGCTACTCCTGCAGACATAAATATTCCCCTATAGGCTTCTTATGATCGTGGGAACAGCCCCTAATCATGATGTATGCCCCTGTCTCGTGTTGCTGAAACGTGATCGAAAGCCCTTTCCCTACCCCCCGGCGTCTAAAACCTACACCCCCCCTCCCAGCCAGAACAACCACCCACCCCCCCCCCCCACCACACAACGCCCCCACCCCGCAGCCCCCAGCCCACCCCCTGCTGATTTCTTGGGCCAGGGGCTGATAGAAATTATTGATTAAATCTGTGCAGCTCAGACTCCTCGACCCACAGAGGCTGGTTAACCCCTTCAGCGCCGGAGTGGGGGGAGCTGCAAGAGCAAGATAAAATAAACAAAAACACAACCAAAAAAAAACAACCGTGTTTGCGTCAGGTGTTGCGCGGCTAAGGCCTGTTTACAGTTCCCGATATGCAAATGGAATCGGCGTTGACCTTTGAGCCTCGCTGGGAGAATGTGAACTGTACGCAGCGCTGTGGCTTTCATTACTGTGGGGGTGGTGCAGGCACTGAGGCCGACACGTAAACCGCATTGACCTTTCTTATTCATTTAGACCTTTAGTGAAGGGCTTCGGCCATCATCTTTAAAGTTATAGTCTGTGATCCCCCCCCCCCTCCTTGACTTTAAGTGTCAGCGCATGGCGGTGTGGTCTTTATCCTGCCTTCTTCTCCGACTAAATCCTGATTGCCTCCTCCACAGCCCGAGGTTGGGCTGCAGATGCATCTCATATACAGTGCAGTAATCCATAAAGCACACACACACACACACACACACACACACACACACAAACAAGATACTGCGGATAAATCCCAGGGATCACCTCCTCCGTGTTTAGCAAAATGTCTCTGCAGAAAGACAATCATTGGAAATTTGAAAAAGACAAAATGGCAGCGACTTGGTTGGAGTGATTTCTGCAGCCCTGTGTGTTTCAGAGTTATTGAAATAGCTCAGTGGTGCTGGCTGACACTGAAGGGCCTTCTGTATTTAAGCGAGTGCTGCATTAAGGAGGATCATCTTAAAACTTGAGGCGTGAAGCAGAGAGCACTTGAGCTATCTTCAGACTGGGAGCACAGGGCACCACGCATTCTAATTCCAGTCTCGATTCGCCGATGCGGCCGAGGTGTGTGTGGGCAAGGCGTGCTGCTCTTTCCCATGGAAATCAATAGCGGCTTGTAATTAAACAAAAGGGGGTTGGCCAGTGAAGGCAGGGGGGGACAACAACCCCCTTCGGAAAGTAGGTTATGTAGAAAAGTGCCGAGCTGTCCAAATTGTGGCTTTGCCAAGAACTAAATATGCAATTTCAGAGTGTGTGGGAGAGAGAGAGAGGGAGAGAGAGAGAGGGAGAGAGAGAGAGAGAGAGAGAGAGAGGGAGAGAGCAGCATTGTCAAACATTAGCACACTTCTCTGTGTAGGGACTTTAATTTTTTATGAGCCTGATTGATCGGCTCTCTCAGACTCGGAGTCGTTAAAATAATGTTTGTGTTGGTAAAATCAAAAGACGCGGAAACAAAGATGCCGCTAAATAAAAGAAAGAATGATTGATGATGAAGAAATCTGCTCAAAAAGAACAAAGAGCCGTTTGATCACGAAGGAAAGATTAGCTGTGTTTTTTTTTTGGTGTGACAGGAAGAGGCGCTTTGCATACAGAGCGCTCACACCTCGCAGGATTAGATGCATTTATGTCAAATTGCAGAACAAACAGATAACTCATCTTTAGATAAGAGGTTTGTCTGTGATTGCTGTAACGTTGTGCTGAATGGAGGATGTACACATGTGCTCTCAGAGCCCAACAATCAAAGATCAATAATTGTGAAGGGATTGCAAGAGTGCACAATCATTACCTATGAACTCCATTGTGTTGTTGGGCTTAATCAGTCGAGCTGCTGACAGAGAGCGAAAAGCACTGATCAACTGGGCAGGCTCACACACACGTCCTCGTCACAGACCCCTGCAGTGAGCAGACCACTCGCAGATACACACACACACACACACACACACACACACACACACACACACACACACACACACACACCAGACACACACACACACACATACACCAGACACACACACACCCACTCGATGTCTATGCCCGTCTCATATTACTGTGTTCACTTGGATCTCTTTCTGTGCTGCGTGTATCAGATGGGCCTGGGTCCCTGTGGAGGGACAACACTGTAACACGGCACTGTACAGCGTGCTGTCGTGTCTTCCATCCACATCCCCAAAGAATATTAAATGTCAAGCAGCAGATTACAATGTGCCTTTCAGAAGAAAAAAAAATCTTTACCCTGTGAAATCTGTATAAATAATACCAGGCCTGCAACTAATGATTTTTCCTGACCATCGATTCTTGATTTCTTTCCAAATAAACCTACAAGTAAAGTTTAAAAAATGTCAGAAAATTGTGAAACATTTAAAAAAAATCATGAGTTCTCGAAAGCCTAAACTAACACCTTTGAAATGTATTATTTTTAAAAACCCCAAAATGTTGAATTTGCCAATAATATAAAAAAGAAAAAGGTAGCAAATCCTTGAGAAGCTGCAAACTAATGTTTAGCATTTTTGTTGGATAAGTGACTTTTATGAATTGATTATGAAAATAAATGTCAATTAATTTCCCTGTTGTGCACTGATCGATGCTGCACTAAGGATTAGACGCTGCTCCAGTTAAGCAGTAAGCTCGTGTTTCCCAGGTATGAGGAGTCTCACACACACGGAGCAGCACAACATTTGTATTTAGCCTCGCAGTAATTGCCTCGGTGACGACGTTGATAAAAGACGTCTGGCAAAAGCTCAAGTCTAATTTGCATCAGCTACCTTGCCAACTCAACTTCAGCCGCACACTGAGCAGATATAAATCACTGCTAGGATTAATCAATCGCTCCAGAGTGGCATATCTGCACAAATTATTTTGTGGGCTCAAAAGCGATTAAATTGCCAACCGCTGCTCACGCTGATCTTCATGGTTCATTTAAGAGGAGGGCAAATGTCTGTGGCTTTTTTATTGTTGCTACTGTACAAATCAATAGAAGCTGTTTGGGAGCAAAGTAAACAAAGGAATGGCACATATGGCCCTTTCTGGCTCAAACTGTCCTCAATGTGCTGCTAAGTTCTCAGTATCCAAGACAATAGACGGACCAGTGCTACATGCAGGGTGGTGTGAGGAAGGGAAATATCAGTGTGATGCTTTTCCTCAACCCTGAGCTGCATACTGATTGCTGGAGAAGAGGATTTTTTTTTGGAAGACATGGAGAAGGAAGGTGTTTGGGGAAAACAAGGTGTTTGTTGTTGTGGTTTCTGTATAAGTGTGTGTACATGTGTGTGAGGCAGATAGAGCAAAGCCAGATCTTACCCTCCAGCCGAAGTGAAGCCATCCTTTGAAACTCGGGCTCCTGCAGCCAGCGGGACATCCTCTTAAAGGTCTCGCGGCCGGACTTCAGCTTGCCCCAGGGCTTGGGGTTCCTCAGGAGGTCGGACAGCGTGCCCTGTGACCGACACAGGACCCTCTCGGCGAAGATGGCCTGGGGGATGCTGTACCTCTTCAGCTCGGTGATGATCCTCTGGGCCACGTCCCGGGTGTTGATCTCCTCTCCGCCTCCTCCTCCTCCACCCTGCGAACCCCCCATCATGCTCTCGTTGGGCGAGGACAGGGCGGAGGACGTGGAGAGAAGGTGTTCGCCCATCTTGGAGGCCTGCTGCTGGCTCGGGTGGTGGTGGGGCTGGTAGTGCTGGCTGTAGATGTGCGGGTGGTGGCTCTGGGCGTGCTGGTGAGCCTCCATCTTGTTCAGCTGATGCCCCACCGACACGTCGCCTCCGCCAAGACCCGGCGGCGACATCTCTCGCCCGAAATCTGACGTCCGGCAGAAGAGGCTTCCCCCGTGGACGTCGTATCCGGCGTGGAGCATCTGCCCGCCGTTTCCATTGGGGCTGTTGCCTAAACTTCCGTACCCGTGCATGGAGGAACCCAAACCTGATCCCGTGGTGGGGGGGGACAGGGTCTGGGACAGGGTCTGGGACATGGCCAGATCTTTGCCATAGGGGTTGTAGAAGTTGGTGCCGAGGCCCCGATCATCACGCATGAGGGTGAAGCTCCCGATGACGTTGCTCACCGGCAGGCAGGGGTGGTGGTGGTGATGATGGTGGTGGAACTTGTCGTCGAAGGGCTGCAGGGGGGTCAGCGTGGTGTAGGTGCTGCCGGAGCTGGACGGGGAGTCGCCGCTGTATCCCAGAGCTGACATGGAGTGATCGAAGCCTGGGGGACGGGGCTCGGGCTCCAGAGACATGGAGGGGCCCCCGAGGGAGGGCCGGGGGAAAGCAGCCGAGAGGTCCCGCGAGTGGAGCATGGCCCTGCCGTCCTGACCCAGATCCGAGTGGAGGGACATCTCCCCTAGACCCCCATCCATCATCAATCCGTTACAAATAAATGTGTGGCCCCTGCGTGTTGTTGCTCTTCTTGTTATTGTTGTTTAACAGCCGGGCTAAAAGTCTGGAAGCTCTCTTGTTACACCAGACTATGGATTTATTGATTTGTGAATTAATTGATTTCCGGGCTTATGGGGTGTCTAATTAATTATCTGATAACGTTAAGTACTGTCTTCAAACTCCCTCAAACTCCCAGAAAACCGGTTTGCAACAGCATCCGGAGCTTTTACTGTGATTTTATTCGCACTTGTGCATCAGCACTCCGCTCTCTTGTCTCTTCGGTGCTCAGCTGCTCCTCGGCAGATGCCTGGCTTTTGTGCCTGCGTGAGACAAGACAGGCTGTTACATTTAAACTTTCATCGCTACAGGAGAGGAAAACAGCCAAATAACGTGTGTCTCATCAGTAATAAACACCAATTATCGCTCGTGCATCCCAAATACCAACAACGATAGACACATTTTAGCACATTTTACCTCACGCATCCAGCGAAACACGCGAGAAAACACCCATATCAGTGTTTTTATCACTTTCGAACATGGGATTTCTCCTTCTTATGCAAAGTTATGAATACAGAAGTAGTGCGCATGCATTAGGTGTGCTTATTAGGTGCGTTTGCACATTTTTACGCCACATGTAATGAAGCCAAACGACGCGTTAAGTAACTGACAAACACGACGGCGGTACAGACACAGAAACCTCGACATGTGTAGCTTTACGCAGCTTGAAAATCCTACCTTTTTTTATCCACTTATGAGAGCGCGTCCGCGGCTGTTGTCCGTCCTGTGCATGTCTCCGATTGTGTCGCCGAGCAGCCCTGCAGATTCACACAATTGGTCCTACATTCACCGAAACCAGAGTGCCAAAAAAAAAACCCATCTGCGGTTCAACAGACGAATCTCTCGCGCTCTCTTCGTCCTCACTCTTTGTTTTCCCACTCCAAAAAAATCTTGCCTCGTTTTTTTTTGTTGCTCCACACTAGCAGCTCTCCTCTTTTTCCTCTTTCATTATCTCGTGAGATTTTCCTCCTCCTCCTCCCTCTGCCTGCCACTTCATCGATCTCAGCACCAACTCTTTCTCCTTCCCTCCTCCTTCCCCCCTTTGCTCACATTGACTCCCTGCTTTCAGTGCGTCACGGCCTTAAAAATCTGACAGATGTGCGATGAAATTCCTACTCCAATTAACCCTTTCTCTCCGGGGGGGGAGGGGGTGTGGAGATGCTCCCTTGCTCATAACCCCACTGCAGGTTAAGGCAGATGATTGCATGCACATCTTCTGAATTATGTGCGCACATCCTGGTCCCTGTGTATCTGATTAATGGTTTCACAAGCTGCACATAATGTCGTTTTGTTCCTTTTTGTATCTAACAAGTGCTGCTATTGTGACTGTGAAGAATGGTCTGTAACATGGAGATAGAATGGGAAAGATAATATACAGGAATTTCCTTATTTTCTTGTATTTTGAAGATTCTTTTAATTATTTTTTGAATTAGAGTAACATGTACTTTGATTTATAATTATAATATCAGTGCAGGAATATATTGTTGGGGCTGCTATTGTGACTGTGGAGAATGATCTGTAACATGGAGATAAAATAGGACATAATAAACAGGAATTTCATGTTTTTCTTGTATTTTTACGATGTTTTATCATTTTTTAGAAATAAATCAACTTGTACTTTCATTTCTCATTTCTAATACCAGTACAGGAATAGATTGTAAGGCCCTGAGGGGATTTTAAAAAACGAATTAAGGGTGAATATGCAATTATGTAAATCGCCTCACTAACTTATTGACTCCAGAGAAAAAAATCTATGCGTTTCCACTCTGCTGTGCATCATCTCCACACCAGGCCACATCCTGCATTTCGCTGTTTTTAGCACCAAACAACCTAGATATATATATTTGTTGTAATGTCCTGAGTCCTCTTGTCCCACCTTTCAGGGATAAAAGCTGTCAAGTGACGCTCGTGTTGATCCCAGCTCTTAATCAGCACTCACAGCTCCAACACTTCAGTCTGAAAAGTCCCTCAACAGGATCAATGCGACCCCTTTTTCCAGAGGACCCTCGACCTGCTGGCTGCTGCAGCACGAGCACATACTGCAGGCCTGCTGGCAGCGCGTGCCCATTTGCACGTGCTAGAGTGTCCAATGAATGTAATTTTGTGTCAATTAAGCGTGCCATATGTACGCTTGGATGTGTGTCTAATTTAGGCGTGTGTGTTACGCGTGTGCAAGGCTCTGTGTGGTCACTTATCCTAGGCCTATGAGGGCGTGCATGTGTGCGTGCATGCAGCCAGGCCTATATTGTATGTTGTGCACAAATGTGCGTTTGGTGCACATTTGTGAAAGAAGCAGTGGTGGAAGAAGTACTCAGATATTCTACTTCAGTAAAAGTAGTAGCTAATACTACATTGTGAAAATACTGTACAAGTAAAAGTCCTGCATTCAAATACTTACTTAAATACTTATACTGTAAGTATCACAATTAAAGTACTGGGTGAAAGCCCATTTCAGAATCATATATTAAATGACTAATGATTGATTAATTAATGTGTCTACAGCTGGTAAAGGTGGAGCTAATTTTATATATTTTTTATTGTTTATTTGTATTTGGTGTTAGATATATGGATCTATAAAGTAACTTAAACTGTCAAATAAATGTAATGGAGTCAAAAATACAATATTGGTTTCCAGATAGTGGAAGTACAAGGATAATGATGCATTACATGGGAAAGTAACTCGACATTGTACTCGAGTAAATGTAGTACTTGATTACGTTTCAGCAGGAAAATAAAAGGGTGGATATACATCTAGTCTGCATGTGTCTCCGAGAGCACAGACAGGAGCAGGAGCGCATACTAATCATATGTGTCTGTCAGTTTAATTTTCAGAGATGAGCAGTTTGGAGACTGTGGAGCTGCGCGGTGTGGGACCGCCGGCTTCCCGGAGCAGATGCTGCCCTATCGATCCGCCTCGCGCTGCCGCAGCACGGAGGGATGCGCGTGTGTGTGGATGGCGAGGAGTAGCTGGAGGTAAAATGGTCAACGGCTACAGAGCGAGAATAAAAAGGTCCTTTTGGAGGTCGGGGTGAAAGTTCACCTTCTGTGGCGGAACAATCCGAGCCGACACTGTAGCTGCTGCAAGGCCCAACTCTGAACACTGCACATTCATATTATTATTTATTGAGTATGTTCATGTTATGCTAATTACTACTCAGTACTATTTTGAATAAAATATTGAACTTTTTACTCATTTATTTGACAGGTTTAGTTTCTTATTCATACACACATATAATTGATATAGATGATAATTCATTAGCTCCACATAGCAGGAACATGTATCTTCACACCAAATCCAGTGATATAAAGGATTCTGCATAATCCAGATTCACATTACTGTATTGTCCTTTAAACTTACATAACATGGAAATGTGTCTAATAGGCACTGGGAAAATAAAACATCCCTCACCAGAACATTCATACACCATGTAAGGAAATTGCATCCTGAAGTGACTGAGTGTGGTTTGTTCTGTCCTGGGTCCAAGAACATATCATTTGTATTCAACATAAAAAATGTAATATACATAGGTGATGGTGTTGGAGTACGTTCTGTATTCACATTGATGTGTATTGTGCTTTTACTTAAGTATAATTTGAATGCCAGACTTGTACTTGTAACAGAGTATTTAATACCCTTCTTTTACTCAAGTAAATTACTTCTTCCACCTCTGCTTATCCTCTATTACTGTACACATCCTGTATTCCTGCAATGAGGAGTTATGACAACAAATATATTCACTTTCCACCTGTGCAACTGATGATTTGAACTGCACAAAAAGCCCATTTTATATAAGATTAGCTCATATAAAAAAATACTTTATTAATCCAAAATTAGTTTTCGTTGCAGCAGCACGTAAAAAAGACATTGTACATGAAATAGAAATAAAAACACAATATACAGAATAAGTTAGAAACACTACCTACTTTTAAGTAAACTATAATCACATTGTAACGTGTGCAAAGTGTCTGCAGCTTTGACTAAAACCACTGAGGCCATTTCCATTTTAAGCTTTAAGCTCCCATCAGGAGTCACTTTCCTCCGAGCTGCAGCAGCATCAGCAACATTACAGCCAAAACATTTGCATTTCAGCCATTTAGCTGATGCTCTCAGAGGGACCAGTGAAGCGCCTTCAAACCCTCCATCACCAACACAGCTATACCTATAACGAGGAATACTCACAAGTCTTGCTGTATCTCTCCCGCAAAGTGACTTTCAATATGGTGGGTGCAGAATAAGCTTTTAATCTAAAGCCAATATTGAACGTGTTTAGATTTTAACCATTTAGCTGATGCTCTCATCCTGAGGGACATGTATGGCTGCCTCGAAAGCCTCCATCTCCAATATTACAAGCAGCCAATAGCGAAGAGGTCAGGGGTCAGGTGACATTGCTGTGACCTTTAAATGACCATGCATGTGCTGGAGAATAGCCAGAATGAGCACAAAAAATAAATGCAAAATGTATTTTCTGCAGGGAAAAGGGTGAAAGGAAGGAGGGAGAGCATAGCAGATGAGTTTGCAGGCAGCGAGTGACATGTCAAGATTCATAAATTCATATTTTATTGGGAGAAAATGAAGCAGTGGTGTTTTCTGCAGCCAGGGACGTGCAGTGCATGCTGGTCCACAGAAGGCCTGCAGCAGCACCAGGAAACAGGAGGAGGAACGTGCAGAGCCGCATTATTCATCCTGTACTTCACACACAACCCCCAAATCTGCTGTTTAATCACCGAGTAAACGTGATCACTTATTGGTAAATCATAATGGATGGGGCGCACGCGCGGGGATGCAGTTTTGAACGAGATATTGACTCCTTGTTTGCAGCAGCGAAAAAGGTGGAAAATAATCCACGTGACGTTTTTTTTACGCAGCGTCCATCAGGGAGAGAAATACAACCTGAAGGATGAAAAACAGCAGCTTCTTTCTGTTTCTGATCACCTGTGTGTTTCCCAAATCCAGCTGTTGTATAATTATACTTATTATATAATGATTAAATGTGTTTAACTTCCAAAAAAATATAGCAATAATCGTCGTGTTTTGATGAAAGACTGATATTGCTGTTCTGACGCTAAATGGGTCGTTTTGTTTCCATCTAATCTGGATATCCCATGCATTATTTAATCAGCGAAACACACAAACACACACACACACACACACACACACACACACACATTGTAATGACTGGTAAACATGACATCTGAAACTGAAATCCTGCATGTTCTCTCGCTCTCTCGCCTGTGTGTGTGTGTAATTATTATACATGCAGTAAAATACCCAACACATACAAAGCAGAAAGACACAACTTGATTTACACCGGTATTTATTATCATCATAATAATACAGTAGGCCTAGGCCTATCGGACAGTCAGCATCATGAGCTCTTTTTTTGAAAATAAAACCTGGTAAAAACATTATGTAAGACTATTTAAAAAAGCGTATTAAACACCTTTGTCGACAAAAATCTATTGAACCACAACACACAAACACACTGGAAACGAACTTCAGCAGGAAGAACAAAATACACATTGTTCTGAAAAAAAGTGTGAATCCTGCGTTACGTCTCAAACGTGCAGTAAATGGCGTTAATGTGGTTGCTTTTCATCAGTATTCACGATCACATTTACATTGTGTACTGCTGTAGTTTAACGTTTTATTAATTTCACTGCTGTCACTATCACCGTGAACGTTTCCTGTTTTAGCGTAACACCACTTTATGAATAGTCTGTTCTGAATAACCACTGTTTTTTTTTAATAAAACTACCGTGATATTTTTGGAAATACGTCAGTTTAGTTTTACTCATGATGCAACACATGAAAGTAACACTGAGGGAAACAGAGACAGCTAACACACTCTCCATGTTCCTCTTTCATTTCCTCCACCTGTAGTGTGGTATAGACTCCTACAAATTTAAATGTGAGTTGACTTGCTACTGTAGATGTCAGACAATAGCATTTTCCTCAACATTACACTTCATTTTCTATATGTAACTTTTATTAGAAGGAAAAGTCAGACGGAAAACCAGTCGTCTCTAAAGTTGTATTTACTCATTAA